CACTCTACTGGGTTTGTGTCTGCAGGATTTATGTTTTCTGCCTGCAAATTGTACCCAATGCACCACAGTCTGGCAATAGTAGTGTTTAGTTTAGTTTTCATCCGATTTTAAAGTAATGCAATTCATTCTCTTTTTGTAAGATTGGACCTTTTGTGAAACTTGAATGTTCAGCATGTTTCACTGGTCACAATGACACAATCAGAAAAACACCTTTGTATAAAAAAAGATTAAACTAAAGCATTTGGCAACACTTTAACTGTGTTACGCCAATTTACACTTTAAAAATAAAGATACTCTCCTGAAAATCGGAGGTTATGCCTCTTAAACCTGAGGTTTTACCTGAAATATACATTATTTACAACTAACCACCATTTTTAAAAACAGTTCCATTTAGTGAAAAGCGCACGCAGTTAAGTCAACAGTTTGATCTCGAAATTGTCAGTCACAAATAGTCACAAACGTGCAACAACAACAGAGACTCAGACGCTATACGTCTCCCTTATGACTCTTTCTGGGCCTCTACAGATAAGATGGAAGAACTTTTCCATCTGCATAATTTCCAGCAGGCCAGTGCACTGGCAAATCAGTGCGGCTTGGCTGTGTGACAGGGCACCTGATGGCAGAGTGGTCTCCAGTAACTCCAGGGCAATTTGAGAAGAGAGAGGAGTCAGTGCATTGCGAGAGAACAGCAGTAGTGGGGGCCTGCCGTCCCAACAGGGATCAGTAGTGCAAATCAGCAGTTGTAATAGAGACGCTGCAGAGTCATCGAGATCCTTTCCTTGTTGTTCAGGAACAGCTATTTTCCACAGAAACTTCTTATTTCCTCATCCAAGCAGCAGAAAATTACATACTTTTGTATTTTTCATTTTTAAACGGTTTTTAAAAGCTTTTTTGACAGATTGCGAAGACTTTACTTTGCAAGGGATCGGACATAGATGCATCTGTTACGCATAAGAACATTCATAAAGTGGTGCTGCAATTCATTGATGAAGTCACAAAGCAGCAGGTCAAAGGTTTGGTGAATAATGGGGATGTAGCCTCCTGCACCAAAGCAATATTTAGTTCCAGGGCAGACGTCCGCCATCATACCACACAGCATTACTGATACAGGTGGTTGACATACCATGCATTTTCTTACGGCCATTGACACTTTCTAACAAGGCTCCTAGTTACGTGTGAAATACCACTTCATACTGAATTAAGTTTAATTCCTGCATTTAAATCACACAACCTTCTTCGAGCATTTGGTGTAAATCCGATATAGTAAATTAAAGATTTGCTCTGATATCCTTTAAGGCAGAAAATGTAATATGGCCCAGCAGTCTCAAATAACCTTAAATTCACTTTTAAGTTTCTGGCAACAGGCCTCACACTTAAATCAGCTTGATGACTTGTATTGTGGATTAAGGTGTTTAGGTCATGAACTCGCTTAAATATACACCTTGAAAGACGTATGAGCCTATTATCTGGCATCTAAACTCTGTTTTCTAGTGTTTTTTTTTTGTTTTATACATAAATATCCTGAAAAAATGTGTTTCGTGAACTGGGAAAACACAGATTTATCCCAGAATTAAGTTAAACCAAGACAATTTAAACGTTGACCTTTGCACCTGAACGTGGCATCACACATACCATAATCAAATGGAGGAATAGCAACATAAATGACACCCGTTTAACATAAAACAGTTCTTAAGACAGGGAGACAACCTGATACAGGAAAAAAAAAATTCTATTGTTATCCATTGGGCAAAAAACAACCTGAAACAACTTAAGAGTCTATTTTTTTAATGCATTTTAAACTTTAAATGTATATTTTCAATGGCCTCTTTTGGTCTTGATAACGGCTGAGATTCCTACCTTCATTGTTTTTCTTTATTTTCTAAAGATCCAAATTGTTTTTTTCCACAGACTTGCTGTGGATTGAACTGATCAGTCCCACATGGAATTTGACTTGCCTACTCAATCAGTCGCAGCACTCCAGGTTTTTCTGGATGTCTGTGACTTCAATAATGGGCTCTTAGCAGCTATTCTTCCCTTCAAGAGCCTCTTCCCATCAGTCATCTGCTTAGACTCATTTGGCACACTTTCTCAAACCCTGATCTGAGAGCATTCATCTCCGGCTGAAGGTTACCGGTGGTCTACCTATTGTTGATAGTACTTAAAATCTTATGTTGACTTTTAGCGTTTTTCAGCCTCCTTCCTGGCTTGTTTTGTGTCCACAAGACTCCAAAGCATACTTGAACACACAAATAAAATTTGAATTTCCTAATTCATCCATCTGTGCCCAAATTTAAACCAGATCAATATTGATAACAATACGACTACATTGTTTTTTTTAAAATATAATTTGAATGATTTTAGATAAAAGGATTCTACATGCATTAACCATTATACAGACACAAGATAATTATTTCAGGGACTACCAGTACTGTTAATTTAGGGCAGCTCTGGTGTAAACCTTACATGTGGTGGTGCTCTAATAAATTTGTTACGCACTGGAGATAACATTCCTGGCAGTCTCACAGGAAGAAATAGCTCGATATAGGCAGTGGGTGGTTGATGTTTATTAACAGCAAAGGAAATGTGTCTTATTCCTCACGTAAAGCCGGAATTCCGCTGTATCATTTCCATCTGCTGTGGGATTGTATTATTATAAATGAGGCCATTTCAGCCCAATCTAAATGGGGCTATGAATTTGGATGTAATAATTAATGCCCCCTCTTCCGTTCTCAGCCCCGTAGCTTTTTTACTCGTGTAGCAATGCCCAAACAATCCCACTCTCCCGCCTCCGGTCTCCCAGAATCTAATCCTTCTTCTTGTCCCCTCCAGCAAAAGCATCTTCCGTGTCGGCCTGACCAGCCCCCCTCTCCCCCCTCAGCCTCCCCCTCCGTCTCTCTGTCTCGCTGCATCCCTGCAGCCCGCTAGGCCTGGCAAAGGATTTTTTGCTCTGACTGAAAGGGGGAATCTATTTCCCATCTCTGCAGCTATAGCTAGTTATCATATCATGCTGACCCTCTGGAGTGATGCCTTCAAGAGAAGTTTGAGCAGGGATCCATATTTAGGCAACTAAATGCTCCCATTTTGCAGCGACAGAGTTTTGCTCCTTAAAGACGACCATCATTTTAAGTCGATCACTGGCACGCGTGATTTGCCAAGTTCCTCCCTTTTGTCCATGGCAACTTTAGCTTCAGTTCCATTTTATTTCACTGATGAAGAAATCCCGTGTTGGTTTTCTGCTCTACTATTTGGGACATTATTGGTTTTGTGATGTGACGGTACTGGTGGGAGAGACAGGAGAGAAAGAATACTAAACATAAAAAAACCCAACTACAGCCTTAATAATCATTATTTGGATAAAAGTCCAAGGGGTGCATTAGTGCTCCGTAAGAACTGCAATAGCTTGAGATGATGGGGAGATGAACAGGTTTCTGGAAACATTGTAAAGCCCGCTGATGATATTAAGGTGTTGATGGCTCTAACCTGAGCCGTAAAAGCATTTTTTTTTCTGTTTGCTACAAAAGTGGATGAATGGTAGAAAGTGCAGGCAAGTCGTATTGATCTGGGCTGACTAGTATAGCAGAGGCAGGCCTGTTCTGCTGTATCAGTGCTTTCCTGACTTTTACGAGAGGAGCTCATTTGTGGGGGTGGGGTGAAGAGTGAGACTGCACGTTCACTGTGAGGAGTCATCTTTCTGTTGTGGATCGGTGGTAAGTAGCCATTAGTAAACTGATCTTTGGATAAGGAAATTTAATGGTCGCCTAACCGTATTTACAAGCCATTCAATTTGATAAAGGGTGTGATCTCCAATGATTCATTACATACTGCCCTGCTCCACTTCTAACAATCAAATTCAGGAATACATCAGCATTTTCATTCATCCATCTATCCATCCAATTCTGAAGAGCTTATTCCCAAATGGGGCTGGGGGACTAAGCCTATCCCAGTATTCAATGGGCGTGAGGTAGGGTACACCCTGGGCAAACCAAGGATCCTCTATATTTTCATTCATTTGTCTACTTTTTCTTTTCTTTGAAAAAATCCTATCAATGTGAAAAAACAGAAGGATTCAAACGAAGTTATGATTTGCCCAATCATGCAGGTCCTAAACAAGCCATTCAGAGGTCTTCTTTCAGTAACCCATATTTATATCCTCTTGAGAATCAATTTTAGTCTCGCAATATTGTCTTTCTTTCCACTGGGTTGTGCATCAAACCTTGAAAAAGAAAAAATATGAAAATATGGAGATAGAAAAGAGCTCACTGGGGTTTCTGATTAGTTCACAGATCATTTTCATTTGGTTCATATGTTGGTGACAGATTTAGAAAATGAAAACCCTGCCTGTGTAATAAAAACAATCTGATAAAATCAGCATTAATAACATGCTAGTTTTGTCCTTTTTTGCCTCCACCTCTCTGTTCCTGCGGTATGCACAAAGTGTGCTTTTTTGCAGCTGCTAAACCTTTGAAAAAACTCATTAGTTGTTATTTTTATTTGAATTACTTGAATTACCCTTCATCTCAACTTTCTAAGAAGATGAAACACGAATCTTGCAAATCCTATTCAATTGTCAAACAAGTAAACTGACTGTAATATAAACCTTTCATATTTATGTTCTTTTTTCAAGTATAAAAGTATAGCACTGTGGATTGCCTTCCTTTTGTCATAGTTTATTCATTTCTGCTGCGGCCAATTTTCACATTCTTATTACTGAAGTCAATAACCCCATTCTCCTCATATATTTATACCTTATGTAATCTCCAGCATGATAATTGTGCGGAAGACTACTCAATATGCAAAGGTGTTTAATAATTGATGCTATTTTCTGACTTTTGAAGAGGGAACTTTATGGGGTCAGCAGAATTCTGACTGGAGTTTCAAATCGGGGGTTTTTTGAGCTGTTGCTTTTACCTTTGGAGAGCCATCTAATACAATGATTTTTTGAGAAACGCAGTAGGTACGTCTCTGGATGTCGAATAACAATTTTTTCCCTGTTTTTTCAGCACCCCCATCGTCGAGTGACATTCTCCACCACCAACCCTGTGCAGGACCTGCAGGACGCCTCCCAGCACAGCTACTACGACAGCGGCCTAGAAGAATCTGAGACTCCCAGCAGCAAGTCATCGTCTGGGCCTCGCATCGGACCCCTGACCCTGCCTGAGGACCATTTTGAGAGAACCACCCCAGATGGGAGCATTGGAGAAAACGAACATCCAGAAAATGGTACGGCAGCTATTTGCTCTGTCTCGTTTTTATTATAATTTTGTCTCTGAAAGAGTTTGTGTTTGGTGATTTATTTGTCTTTAAGCAGGTCTGTTTTGTGTGTTTGTGTGCGTGTGTGTGTGTTTGTGTGGCATCATGGCATGGGTAAGCAGTGCTTCCTTCCCCCTCATCAGCAGGTCCTCTGTCAGACATCCTTAATGACCCTCTCTCACAAGTGTGCTAATTAAAAAGCCCAACTAATGGAGTATTTGCCCTCTAAGTAAATCTGAACCATGACATCTGTGCAGACAACACGGTTTGCCGTAAACATTTCTTCGCCTCTAGGTGGACGCAGGTTACACAGCAAGCTTATGTTTGGAGATGCCATTATTACTAAATACAGCAATCCATCAACAGGCTGATGGTCACAGCAGAGGTTTCAATACAGACAAAAACACAGATTATACTTGAAACTGTAACTAATATTCTCTTAGTTTATCCTAACTATTTCTTCTGTGTTTTAAGCTGACACTCCTTGTGTTGTAGTTGTAAGAGATTCACATGGTGAATTTCAAGTTATTGTGTTACTTCACACTGTAAAGCCTTTTTGAGTTATCGATTTTCAAGATAAAGTTTGAAGTCAGCGAAGAATCTATTACGTTGCTTGTCAATATTAAGGCTGCTATTGTCACACTGTCAATTGCCAGTCAAACAGTTGTTCACGTCAGTGCAAAGTTAATTCTGGCCTTTAAAGAAAAAGAAAATGGGATCAAAGGCAAAACAGTGTCACCCTCATGCCAAAACAGCAGACACCAATCCTCCATTATTAGTACATTATCATTCACCGTAATGCATCGCCTCTTTACTCGACCATTGTGTTGGGGCTCATTACTTTGTTTATTCTTCTCTATTGGGAATGTTTCTTTGTGTCGCGAAGAGACGCTATTCTGTAAGAATGGAGCTGGTGGTGGGTGTGCAGGAGAGGATAAGCTTTGCCAATATTTTCTTCCCCCCAGGCCTTGTAGAGGTCAGGGATTGCTTCACATCCCATTAAATAGACAGATTTAGTCATTCAATATACAGTCTTGTTGCTCACCCAGGAATCGGTAGCTGACCATTTCCATCTTCTCCGTGCACTTAGGATGTGCAATACATGCATTTTCTTCTCCTTTGTTTCCGTTGTTGTGGCTGTTTATTGTGTTACTCCCACGGCTGAACGTATTCATTTTTTGGGGGGAGAGACGGGGTGCTCTTTGTTGTCGGGCGCACAAGAGCAAGATTGCGAATGCAGATGGAGCAGTTAAAGAATGAAAAGGTGGCACAATATGGGGGAGATGAACGATTGTGACAGGGAGCAGGGACTAAGACTCTCTGACAAAGCCAACATGATGAGCATATAGGACAGGGAAGTGCTAAGATTAACCTCGAAACCAAAGGCAGGCCTAATTAAAACATCATTCCCTCTTAAGGGGGGAAAAACAGGAAGCTCACGTAAAATGAAGGATTAGGGAGAAAAATTAAATGAGATAGAAAGATTCCTCCCTAGCTCCACCTGAAAAGTGACATGAAGTCTTTTTTTAAGCATCTGAGTGGCAGAGTGACAGGTTGTACTGGTGCACAGCTTTATTCATTGCAGTAAAGATGAGTGACAGGTAAAAAATGGGGAGGTGAGAGCGATGTGTCACTCCATTTAAGTTGGATAAAACGCAATATATGAACCCCAGACTGTCAGCGTTTGCATCAATAGGCCCCAGAAATATTGACACGGATGTGTGTTTTGTCACACTAGTGGAATTTTGACACTAGCAAATCTACATTTTTAGAGATTGCCAGTGGCCTACGGTGGAAAATGATGTAGCTCGGATTCCGTTTTAGTTTGGCTGTGTAATAAAATGACAGTAGTGGAAGATAGAAGTTCTGTCTTGGTATCAGTGGTTTTGAAGTTAAAAAAAAAAAATCTATAACAGACACCAATGAAAAATATTATTTCTATATGTGATTTTATTAGCTACATACATTTTTAGTTATGACCAGTGTTGGGTAAGTTACTTTAAAAATGTAATCCGTTACAGTTACAAGTTACCTTGTTTAAAATGTAATTGTAGTGTAACTTTTTCGATTACTTTTAAAAAGTAATGTAACTAATTACTTTTGATTACTTTTTGATTACTTTAAGGTTTTAATGAGTATTGACCCATGATTAATTTTAGCATGTTATTGTTAGCTATTGGCCGCAGCTAGCACTTCAAGGCTAACGTCTTGTTAATGATCATAAACAACGTAAATAAATAAATAAATAAATCGGGCAGGTCAGTCGTATCCGGATACAACATTTTAGTATCTATACTTTTTGAAGTATCGATACTTTTGACAACCCTAGTCTGAAATGTAGGACATGTCCGGGAAAAAGAGGACGTCTGGTCACCCTACAGTTGGGTATGCTAGGTAGGCTAGGCTAGGCTAGGCTAGGCTAGGTCATAGACATCGATAAACGTTTGTCATGCATCAACACCAAACAGTCAAATATTAGTAAATCAATACGCTTCTTCTATCAGTGAGTTGCATATTTTGCAAAGGTTTTTCTTTATATTTTAAAAAAAATGTAACTAAATTTGTAATTCTTAATATTTTCGGAAGTAACTGTAACTCAATTACATATTTTCTCATTGTAACTGTAACGAATTACAGTTACTCTTTATTTGTAATTAAATTACGTAACGTCGTTACATGTAATCCGTTACTCCCCAACACTGGTTATGACTTTATCTTATTTAGTTTTATTTCTCTTTGTGTGGTAGATGTAGTCTTTGCTCCAGTTTCTTTCAAACTGATATAATATAACCCCAGTTTCATTAACTGAGTACCTTAAAATATCTGTGGGTCTGCGTATATATGTGTGGGTGTTTGTGTGCGTGGTCCATAACAGCCCCATGGCTTCATTGAAGTAGACATAAACATTTTCCATTATGGTTCTTGGCTTTGGAAGTAACAGTAAATTCAAACTACTATTCCAATTTTTGATATATGACGTGCATGCTGCCTGATCTGCAGCAATTAATTTCTAGAGTTTATTTTCTTGTGTGTCTGAACAGCTGCTCCCTCCTCCCACTTTTCCAAATTCTTATCTCCAGGCTGTTAGAGTGCTCTCCATTTCAGACTTCCCATGTTTATTTTCCCACTCTCACTTTTCTTGCGCATAGCGTGCAAAACTGCGTGTCCACTGAATATGAGCGTGTGCGCACACACCGGTTTATGCACATTTATGTGTTTAGTTTCAGGGGAGGGTGTTGCATCACAACCAAAATCTGTAAATCATTTTGATTACAGTGCTATTTTATTTTAATAGCCTCTCATCATAATCAGTGAGCTCTGTAATTCACTTTAAATTGATTCCTTCACACAGCATGAAAACTGCTTATCTTGTGTGTGGTCCGCGTCAAAAATGCAGGATTTGTCATTAGTAGGAGTCAGGCCATTCTTAGCCATCTGTCCATCTGCTGTATTTTGATGTCTCTAGTCAGATGTTGACAGCAGTGCTGTCAAATTTACCACTATAAGCTGACAACTGTTACAGTGAGAGAAGATATCCTCCAGTGGATTTTACATGAAGACAATGTGAACTAAAGTAATTATCAAAATGATCGTTTGCACATGGTGACCAGGTAGCCTCAGCCATCTTTAATCCCATAACTGATTCAATTTGATGTAATGCTGCACAGCGTTATCAATAGCGTTATAAATAATCAATTAAATCCATTGATGATAGTTTTTTTCCACCTATTTGTTACATATTGTTATCAAGCAAGTCCAGTGAGTGGATTTTAAGTTCCAGACCACGGTTGGATTCCCATAACAAACAGCATTAATAGCCTAGTTTAACCTCTTGCTACCCTAAAATTGTGTATATGAGTCATCTGGTGCCTGTGGTGCACTTCATCTCTATTCCTAGGATTTAGATTTCTCTAGTAATCCTTTCGTGTCCAGTTCAACATTGACAACAATCACTCTTCCGCGGATTGGTGGTTAGTCTTCTTGGCTTTGATGTGAGGCACTAGCAACGATATGTTGATTGAAGACAGGTACTAACATGCACACATAGTCTCACACTCACAAACTCAATTTAACACAGATGGAGGAATTTTGATGTGGCCGCTTGCCCAGTGTGAGGTCCCTCCCTGTTTTTTCCTCCGTGTGGACTCACTGCCATATGGGCTATTGAGAAGGGGTGAGATAAAATGGAATAAAAGGCATTTGCATGATAATGAGGTTTTTAGTAATGCCGTCTGATTTTCTTCCTTTAGATCTCACAGATGATACTTGTATCATCATATTTGTCCTGTTTGAGCTCCCGTTAGGGGTTTCCTCCACCCTGCCAGATAGGGTGCCAATATTCTAGCCTTTGCTGCATTATTTAATGGAGTTTCTCTCAAAATCTGGCTTGTATGTACAACAATTTTAACAAGTGCAGAATTAAAGTAAGAAATCTCGTGGAGCTGATGCAAGCTTTTGGGTTTTCTTGTCAGTGGACCTGTTTGTATTGCGTGCTGCGATGTGAGATGGACGATGGAAGCTGGAACCAACACTGTGGCCTCGGCCAGCCTTTGCTGAACCTGCCGCCACCCAGAAAAGAGACAGGTCATGGGACTGGCAGCTTCTGTGGAAAAAAAAGATCCTCACAAGTGGTCCCTTTGGGCTAGTTGTCAGGAGTAATCCGCCTTTAATCCTGCACTCATTCTGGCATTATGCTTTGCTCACATTCGATGCTGCTGTTTGTTACCACCCAGTTGTTTGTAGTTTTATTTCAGCACAAATAGGTCACTGGAAGAGCCCCCTAATTGGAGCAGAATTAAATTCTCTAACCTGGATAAAACTCTGACACCATGGGCGGTGGTAAACTATAGCCCTTTTACAGATTACTTCATGGGACAGTGCAGCTGAATCTAGTGGCACTGATGATGTGTCAACATGTCATCTTTTTGAATGTGTCTGCATTTCCCTTCGCCCAATTTGAAATGGAATAT